TCACGTGTTTGGACAACGAACTCTTGGGTTACCAGTGATGTGGACCCAGGACAACCTGCCTGATGGTGGGATCTTGCATGAGTTTTAAGTTTGATGTCAGAGATCGACTGGTGTGTTGTTTGTTTCGTTTGGTGGCGAGTACGCACCAAGGGAATGTGGCCAGGGCATCCCCTTAGTGTTGAAGTGCCGAGCTGGGCTTGGACTTCAGATCTTTGACATGAACCCTCAGCAAAATGCGGGGGGTGGAAGATTGTGGCTGATCAGTGATGTTTTTGTCATGTTTTGGATCAGCTTGTATAGGTTTGTTTTGCTTCGGAGTGATTGGGAATCCGTGTGATCCCATCCTCGATGGTTTATGCCTCGTTGATTTCCAAGGAAATCATACGAGTGTGTTTTTGCCCAATACGCTATTTAAAGTGAGTGTGCAGTGTGTAGGAACTTCGTTCTGAAGCTGAGTTTAAGCTCACAAGAGAGAATTCGTTTAGTTTGTGCACTTCGTGACTTTTGGCTCAAGTGGCTCTGACTGTGAAAAAGAGAGAGCTGTCCGCACTTGTGTGAGAGGTCAGGGTTCGTGCTTTCAAGGGAAAAGGTACCAGAGGGACCTTCGTTTTTTCACGTGTCCGGCAGTGTGTTTGAAGTTGTCGAATCACTTCAAGGAGCGTGACGACCCCAGGCGTGCTTCTTGGTCCGCCAGCTAAATCAGCAGCTTTCAGCTTACTTCTGATGCTGGGTGGATTGTTAGCAGACAGCGACAGAAACTGGACACCGGTGAATTCCAGTGCAGTTTGCACTGCGGAACAGCGGGTTTTAAAGTTGTTAGTATGCTGCTGGAAAGGTCTCCGGCAGTGAAGAAGCTCTATCAGCAACCTTGAGAAGGGACTTGGGCTCGTTAGGTGATTTGGCAGACTTTGCAACCTTTCTTCGCAGGCGTGCAAGCCTTCTTAGGTGACCCTCACGAACGCATTAATTTGTCTACATCCTTTCTGGAACACGCTGGAATGCAAAACAAATTCTCTTCCCTCTTCTTCTCTGATTTCCATAAAATACACAAGCAAAAAAAAATAAAGATTCGAGAAGGTGAAATTTTAAATACATTCCCTCATCTCTTTTCTCTTCCTCTCATTCCACATTCTCTCTTCTCCCTTCTTCCTCCAACTGCCTCGTCTCGACACAATTTAAAATAAATCCCTTCTTTTTCCACTTTGCAACAAATGGGCGGGTCCTTGATATCACTGGACTTCCACACCACATTGTCCAGCCAAGTGACTGCCAGACTGTATCACTTTTTAAACGAGCTTGGAAGGATCAAATCTTGAACTTGAGTTCTAAGGTCAAAGGGTTCCAAGGGCCGTGATGGGATTGAGTTTTTTTTCTTCTTCATTTGTGTTCTTTTTGATTTGTGATCATCATTATTTTCATTATTCTCAATATTCTCATTATAAATCATTATTATCATGATTATCATTCTTATCATGATTATCATTATTATCATGATTATCATTATGATCATTCTTATCGTTATTATCATTACTATTTATATTATCATTAATATCATTCTTATCATTATCACTATTATCATTATGATCATTTAGATCATTGTGATCATTATGATCATTATGATCATTATGATCATTATGATCATTATGATCATTATGATCATTATGATCATTATGATCATTATGATCATTATGATCATTATGATCATTATGATCATTATGATCATTATTATCATTATTATCATGACTATCATTGTCATCAGGATCATCATTATTATTAATATTCTTATTCTTATTCTTTTTCTCTTTCTCATGCTTATGGGTATTCTTATTCTTATTCTTCTTCTTGGTCTTATTCTTAGTCTTAGTCTTAGTCTTCCTCTTAGTCTTAGTCTGATTCCTATTCTTATTCTTCTTCTTTTTCTCATGCTTATTCTTATTCTTATTCTTGGTCTTATTCTTAGTCTTAGTCTCAGTCTCAGTCTCAGTCTCAGTCTTAGTCTCAGTCTCAGTCTTAGTTTTAGTCTTAGTCTGAGTCTGAGTCTTTAGTCTTAGTCTTAGTTTTAGTCTGATTCTTATTCTTGTTCCTATTCTTGTTCTTATTCTTATTCTCATTCTTATTAATATTATTGTTATTGTTATTGCTATTGTTATCGTTATTGTTCTTGTTATTGTTCTTGTTATTGTTCTTGTTATTGTTCTTGTTATTGTTATTGTTAAATTTTTTAAGAACATGATGATGATGATGATGTTGATGATTATGGGTGTTATCATCATTATCATTCTGTATTTATATTTATGGGGTTTGTTTTGAGACTTTAGGGTTTGAGTGTGTGAGGATATTGGGGATATTTTGGGTTTTAAGGCTTCGGGAATGAAAGGCGGAAGGGTTGAGGACGCTTTGGAGTTTTAGGAGGGGCTTTAGATTTTACTTGGCTCAGGGTTTGCGGGAAACCACCCTCGCGCCCAGTTGCGCTCTCCGCGGCTTTTTGCCTAAAGCCAAGCCAGACAACAAGAAGTTCAAGTGCGAAACCACGTGCTCGCTTGTAGCTCCAGTGAAAGGCCGTGTCCTCCACGAGCACAACAAGAGCCGTTGGAGTCCGCCATGAAGATCATTGAAAGAGCTTGCGCCGGGGATCTTGCCAGAGTTTTGCTTCGCATGTCGGACGACGGAAGTAGCTAAAGCCGCAGAAAAGCGGAGAAGGAGAAGGAGCAGAAGAAGAACAAGGGTCGGATGAGCACGCTGGCATTATATGACTCTTTAGGCCCAATTTTCAGAGCTATGAGGAAGCGACGACATGGACATCAGCTGAAAATGGCAAGAAGACGGAGATGCAACTGGCGATCGCATTCTTGGCTGGATTCGTGGGCCAAACGCCGGGCTGAGCACAAGTGCTTGGACGGGCTGAACCGAGGGGGGGTGCAGAGGCACTTCTCGAACCCTCATGTTGATAAGCAACTGAAGCTGTGCTTGTTTATCTTTTTAAATATGAATCTTGCTCTTTACTATGCGGATGCTTTTGTTTCCGCAAGTGGGTTTGAGAAATAAGCCGAAACATGCAGTTCGGTCGCTGCCCAAACACCCACTGTGTTTTGCATTTTTTTTGCGGTTTCCGGCCGCGGCTGGCTTTGCAGATTTTTTGCCCTCGCCGCCAACCCCCCCTTCCTGAACCCCCAACCCCCCATTGCCGCCACATGAATGGTGCTTTCAGTTCAACAAAGCGCAAAAGCGCATGGCATCACATGGAAAGCAACAATCATTGATTACGCTCATTGTGGTAAACTGCGAAGGCGCTGAGCCGCTAAACTTAGCATGGAGTCAGCCTACGCAGAATCCTCAAGGTGCAGTCGATGAGCGTTCTGTGGTTTCATGGTTTGGCCACGCATACATCGGCTGGCTAACAAAGCAGCACAGTGATCCTGAAAGGCGGGACTAAACTCCTCCAGCATCAAAGAGGAAAGTGAAAGCGGGATATGATTGGCATTGATCCAGGCATGCAACGGCGCAGAACTTCAATGATCCAATGCAGAGAGCAAGCCCGGGAGATCAAAGCGGAATGCCGCCCAAACCCTGCGTTAACTGCCCTCACTGCTGGAACAAACACGCAGACACAGCACACTGTGACCTCGAAGCTAGGCAGAAGTAATACCAAGCCACTTTGCTACTATCACGAAGCCAGCATCTGTGCTGTACTGGAATGGACAAAGGCTCTTTGCACGTGAGCGTGTCGACTGTAGAGGGTAAACTCTGCCACTCCTTGGCCCGACAACTGGATGTGAATGTTTCTCTCAAGCATGACTTAAAGCGTCCAACAGCAGAATGTCCAGGTGACACTAACAGCGGCCCATCTACCCTCCACTTCCGGTTATCGTTGCTGGTCGCCTTTCTTCCTGCAGCCCTCTCGTCCGCTCTTGGAGCAGCCAGGATAATGGCTCCCTCATTGCCGAGGCAAGAGTTCAGACTATACTCCTCTCCTCCTCCTGCTTCTGATCCACGGCTGGCGCTGGTGTGTTTGGAGCTCGCACAAAAGTCTGTGAGTTCAGCAATGCGCAGCTGCATATCCCAATCAAAGTAGGGACATAATCAAGAAAAACACACGCTAGTCGCTTTTTACTTCACTGTTGGATGAAAAGCAGGTCTGGAAACTGTTCGGCTGGTTTGCCCAGCAGCATCACATGAGGAAGGACTTCCAATTCCCAAGCCCCAGAAAAGCCAGACAAACGCAATTTTGACGAAACAGTGTTCAATGCAGGCCAAACTCGACGCAAGAGGAGGCCCGAACGCCTTCGATTTGGATTCCCCTTCCCCTGCAATGAGGGAGTGGAGGTGGGTCAAAAAGGTTCACTGAGAACAAGAAGCACGGATACCACAGGTATCTCAAGGTTCTGGCAGTTGCGCGAGCCTGAATGCTACAATGTAACATGCATCGGGAAAAAAAAGCTAAACAATCGTGAGCAAAGGCACAAAATCGTTCAGCAATGTATTCGCAGCTGCATTTACCAACCAAAGTAACGGAATCAAAGGACGTAGTCAAAAGAAACACACACTCCCGCTGAATCTGGCTGCTTTTTTCGGCGACTTTTCGAATCTTTTGTGGTTTGGGTTGGGTCTATTCCTGCGATCCGTCCCTTTCTCTTCGTATGCATTTGCCCCAGAGCGCAATTCCTAGCTGCCCATCCGGGCATTGCTGAAGGCACATCATCCAATTCACAAGCTCTTGGGGCAACCTGCACTTCTATCAAGCATCAGAACTCTTTTCTTCGCTGATACCTGGCTATAAGTAAGGGTGCAAAGGGCGGCGCAGTTCTGTGTGCCCGAACGCCTGGCACTCTACATGTCGGGTACTGTAGCAGAAGGTTTTTAAAATATGATTATGGTTGCGATGATGATGCTGGTGGCTGTGATGACGCTGAGCTAACAATTGGAATGCTACTTTGATGTTATGAGTATTAGTTTGTTGGAGATCAGGCACCATTCAAACAAACTTGTCGGTGTAGGAGGTCTTAATGCTGAACCTGTGGTTCGCAAGGTGGCGGATTCGCGGTCCAATCCGCCGTGATCCCACTGGCACCCATCAAGATCTCAAACTCCCTAATGTCGTGCTCCACATACCTCAGGCCCTCTTTGTCCAAGTAAGCCACCTCTGCTGTCTGCGATGCACCCAGACCGCTATACGATCGAACTTTCTCTCTCACCTCGGGGTCAGAACTGAACCTTAGGACCTTACGGCCTTAGGCGTTTTCAGGTGTAGCTGGAGCGGGGATCCCTGCATAAAAGGGTGATCACGTTCCCGCCCTCGCTCGAAAAGACTCTTTGTAGCAAACGCGCCTTTGGGTCAGAAAGCTCCTGCCAGGCAATCTTGCCTTGGCCTGTCTTGCCCTCAAAGTAGAACACGTGCAGCGTTTGACCCAGCTCCGCCGCGTCGTGTGCGTTCTTCCTCCACTCCTTGCTGGGTTTTGAAGCTGTATCAAGAAGTTATCCCGTATTCCCTAAACCCCAAACCCCAAACCCCAAACCGCAAACCCCAAACCCTAAACCCTAAACCCCAGTCTGGCGGCTTTGGAGTTGGAATTGTCAACTTATACACGTAGCATCGAAAACACTCGAAGCACATGTCAGTACATCATGCGAACATGGATCAGAGTCCACTGTGCCATTCGAATACGATGAAACCTACTGAGAAAAATGCGGGCCTGTAACCATTAGGTCCCTTTCGATAGGTAAACCTTTCAGGCCATCCTGCCCGCCCTAAACTTCCAAATGTTGAAAAAACTTGAACTACTTGATTTCTCAAAGACTCTGGTAACCTAGGGTTGTACCAAAACTACTAAACCCGAAATGCTAAATAACTTGAACCAACTGAGTTCTCAGGTGCTCTAGAAACCTAGGGGTTCTACGGCCAACACGACGCAACTTTTGTGGCGTGGACAATCCGAGGCTCTTCGAACCAACGGCAGCCCCACGGAGCTCGTCCATGGTTTGCCACACATCGGGCCTCAGCCTCTTTCAGCGCTCCCGCCAGCTGTCCTTAGTTGTCCATATGGGTTTAGGGTTTAGGGTTTAGGGTGGAGAATTAAAGGTTAACCTTTGGGATTCTAGGGGTTAGAATACCCCAAAAAGGTTAAAGGTTGCCTACTCTACTACACAAAGCGTCTCTCCCAGTCCAAGTCTGCTTGATCTTGCTTGATGAGGAGCAGCTGGCCCATGGCTGCGGCATCCGCTTTCTTGAAGTCCAACGCTTGCTGGTACTCGCTTTGGGTGCCATGTTCTTCCTGCAGCTGCTGCACGTCGACTACACTCAGGTACGTGTTCGCCGGCAGGCTGCCATATAGTGCATGACACCAGCAGCTCCCCGAACTGTGCGTTCCTTCACTGGGGTGGAGGGAGGGGGGTGGGGGGGGGGGTGGAGGGGGGTAGAGCTGTGGAGGGGTGAGCCAGACGTAGTTACCGAAGGTTCAGCATGCCGCAGCGTGAAGATTCTTGTTGGTACAGTTCGCCGCGGCAGCTTTGGAACACGCATGTGCGCGTATCTGGAGAAGGCTATAGCCCAGTGGTGGGTCTTGTGCCAGGGGCATGGTGCAGTGTTTCCATGCCTGAAGGTTTGGGGGGGGGGCTCTTGGGCAACTCTTGTTGCAGTGTCCCCCCACTCCGGCCGATGCACTTCAGGAGAGGATTGACGGCTGCCATCTATACGTTCTGAGCTTCCACGGGCTGTGTTCCAGCTGATTTGAATGTTTTGAGTTCTTGCATTAGCTGCAAAGCACTGCCATTTGAACGTTTTCAGCTTCGCCTTGAGCTGACTTTTTCATGTCATTTGATTCCATTTTGCAGCCAAAGTGAGGTTCATCTTCGCACGCCAAGTCCGCGTGGATGGTGTCGAACCAGCGCGGCCCAGCCCGCAGTCCGCCCGCCCAAAAGTTCAAAGCTCATTCAGTTCGGCGAACACCGAGTGTCTCTACGCTGCACTGTGAAGTTGACTGTAGCCCATACAAAAGACCCCACTGGCTGATCACCATGGGACAAACTGGCTTACCCTCCCGATGGGAGGGGTTGGCACTGGTGGTTTACTGCGTGTCTTGGTTATGACAACAGTTGGACATCGACCGCTGTGGCATTTCGAATAGACCGTCCGTCCTTGGAATGTCTGCCACAGTTCCCTCTGCTCTTGCGTAAGCACCTCTGTCAAACAGGGCTTGGTTGTGCTTGGAGCTTGGAGCTATCATGAAGCTCTTCGATGTTGCTCAGGGCTGGCCCCACTGGCTGATCACCATGGGGTGCCCTGGGCTGGTCTTGCACACCGCTGACAATTGCTCGTTAGGGTGAAGTCCACCATGGGGCACGTTCGGCCAACCCTTCCTGCTGGAAGGGTTGGCCCCTGGCATTGGGCAGGTCCTGGAAGCAGTTAAGGCCCAAAAAATCTCAATCAAGCTCAAACCAGGCAGTTGAGAGCCCCTGAAAGCTCAATTGGCAGCTGGAAGACCCTTGAAGCCCTGAAAACTCTCCGTGCCTGACCCATTGTGGTTGTGTGCCCCATTGCGTGCCCCTTGTGTGCCTCATTGTGTGCCCCCATTACGTGCCCGATTGTGTGCCCGATTGTGTGCCCCATGCCTTGGGGTTGGGAGAGGGTACATGGCATGCATGTGACAATGAGACTCCTCCTGGAGTAAGTGTTAATGCTCGTGGACTTGAGCCCCCCCTGCATCCCTTCACTCGATGACGTACAAACATCCATGTGTGCCTAACCCCTTTGCCTCACGAAGAAGTCGAGGAAAAAAGAGAGCGGACTGAGTGTAATGCAGGAATGTTGAGTTTAACATAAATGAGATATTCTCTTCATACGGATGGACAATGTATGTTTCGATGTTTTCCAGAATATCATCATAAGAGCGGTTTCTCCTTTAAAGAATAAATGTGTGGTACTTGTGTAGTTTCAGTTTTTGGCTGCGGCTGGCAGCGCGTGCTGACAAGCCACAAGTGTTCCACTGGAGGCAAAACCCTTGAAACTTGAAGCATCTTAGAGCCTGCTTGCCGCACCAGGGCTAAAAGTCTAGAGGGCACAAGCATGTTATTTTACGACATAATGGAGCAACGGGAGAGCAGATGAGTCGTCAAGACCTGCTTGCAAGCTGGGCGCTGCTTTCATGGCATGTTTGCTCCCCATGAGATTGAAATACCTCAGAGCAGACTGGCAACGCAACGAATTTAGTAGACAGTCACTGATGAGATGGGGGTTGCAGAGTCCATCTTGCGTTTGCCAGCTTAGGAGCGTTTGTTGCGTATGATGCGGGCCCTTCTGCCGCTCCATGCTCTCCGCCTTTCGCTGTGGCGGTTCGTCTTTCACGCTGTCATTGAAAGGATCTGTATAGCCGAAGCGCAATGGTGCCGGGAAAGTGTTGCAGCTTCAGGGCCCAGGTTTCTTGGCTCCACTCATCCGCAAGAGGACTCGAGGTTTGCGTGGCCATGGGCCATTGTTCTTTGTGTATTAGGGGCCCTCTGTGCGTGTAAACCCGATAGAGCCACCACAACACAAAGGATGTCGGCACGGAAACTAAAGTCCACAACCCTGCACATCCCTTTGCTGAGACAATCTTCTGAGAGTTCTATAGATCTAAACAACAACTCGGCGACATCCTGTAGCCCCCGGCCCTCGTACTCTCACATTCCTACTCTCACATCGGACGCATGCATGCAAACGCACCTTCTTCCCCTATAGCCTTGCCCGATCTAGATCCTGGAAGTCCTGATGGGAAACCTCGACGAGTTCGTGGAGTGTGCTCAACAACAAGGCACCAACTAGGGGGGGGTTGAGGCCGTAAGTTTTGGTGTGCAAGGTTGACCTGCACTGCAGGGCTGTGGCCCACGGAAAGAGGGAGAAAGATCAAACAATGAGGTTTCCAGTTGCGCGCTTTACAAAACAGGCTCGAAGTTCAGGGGAGGTGCTGTCAGTGTTGTTTTTGAGATTTGATCTCATTTTACGGCCCCTTGAAGCCATGGAGTCGCTCTTGCGTCAAGTGGTGCTGATCCTTGGGCTCCTGGCAACTTGTGCCCGGATGTGGAGCTTTGTCCCCCTCTCCGCGCCCCGCCCGAGGTACCAGGTACCAAGCAGGCGCCTTGTGTCCACGAACGTGGCGCAAGACTTTCTTGGGGAAGATGGGGAAGTAGAGACCGCCACCTCCCGCTTCTCGAACGTCACGCGAGGCTTCCTTGAAGAACTCGAGTCTTCCATCTCCACCTTCCCGAACGTCACGCGAGGCTTCCTTGAGGAACTCGAGGCCGCCATCTCCACCTTCCCGAATGTCACGCGAGGCTTCCTTGGGGAACTCGAGGCCGCCATCTCCCACCTGCCTGCAGTGCCAAGCGGCCTGTCCTGCCGCAAGTGGGATCATGCGCCCTGGCTCACCTTCGGCCTCCTCGTTCTGCCGATCGCCGCTGTGGCCGCTGTCGTCGCCTGGGTGTTTGTTCAATTATTGATGTTCATTTGCTTGGGCATCCTCGCTTGCGCGAGCTTGGTGCCGCTTGAGGATCTTGAGGATCTTGATCTTGAGGTCTTCGAAAACCTTCCGCTGGCCGCGCAGATCGCGGCAGCTGTGGGATGGTGCGTGGTAGTTGCTTCAGCTGCCGCTGGAGGGTGGGCATCCTGGCTTGTGGCGGCCAGGAACCCAATCCCGGTGCCACACAACTGGCGAGACTGCACACTGCAGTTCGTGACGCAACCTGACCACATTTTCCCTTGGCACGCTGGCAGTCGCCTGCCCGGCGCCGAGCAAGAGCTGCGACTGAAGTACTATACATTGATGATGCTTTGGCTGATTCTTTTCAGCTATGTCTTCGCACAAACACTCACAATGTTTGGGCAAGCGGTGAGGGCCTGCAGGGTTTACGCTGCGCGGCAGCGTGAGGTGCAAGGACAGTACACGCACAGCCCACTGGTGTCAGATGATACTCAAACCACCAATTGGTGTTGCGCTGTCGCTTATCAAGTCGCCCTGAACATGTTCTGTGCCGCTTTATCCTACGTGGCAGCTGCCACAGGACGCTTGGATGGCCCCCACGGCCTGTGCTGGGAAGTGTATCTCTTGTGGGTGAGCTCCCTCCTGGTTTGTTCACTGCTGCAAGCTATCGTTCTCCTCGTGCAGCACAGTGGAGAGGAGATGCCTAGCCTGGGCTTTGCTACGGTGGAGGCGGTGCTGCCAGTGTTGGGAGAGCCTTTAGACCTTTTCAAGGACTGGCTCTTCGTCGCCCTGGCCGTCTCCTCCCGAAGCTGGTCGGGTTGCGTGCTGGCAGCCCTGGCCGCCCTCGTGCTGATCGTGTCAGGGACATACTTGCAAGCCTTCCATCCGACTGACCTCATAAAGCAACTAGCACCGGTGCAGGGCGCCTGGCTGCCGAAGCGCGGGCTCCTGGATGCGCAAACCAGCCCGGCGAAACTGGCTGTGGCCATGAGCGAGGACCTTCCGCAGGCAGGGCCGCTTCATTCTATATTCTATCGCGTTGTAAAGCATGATTTGGAACTTTGAACGAGTCGAGGACTGGGCAGCATGTCTATCATGAATGCAAGTTCGTAGATCACGTCGCTCGTCGCCCACCTTGGGCCCTGAATCAGGCCTTGCTTCAGTCGATCTACGTGGCCGTGCATGGCGGTTCCGTGACGCAGTATGCCTTCATTGGCATCAGCGTTGCACGCATCACGGCTTGCCTCGTGCTCCGACATCTTGTACTACAGGCAGAGCAGCGGTACGGCGAAGCCTGGGAGGCACGGGTGAGGGAGCTACGCAGGGTTTGGCTGACTTGACAGGTTTCCTGAGGGCCATGCGGAGCACGCCCGGCACCAGAGCGAGCGAGAGAGAGAGAGAGAGAGACAGGGGAGGGAGGTTACGGTTACAGTTGAGGAGGTGAAGTAGCAGTACCAGTCAATCAACGAGTCCAAGGTAGTGTCACCTGCGCCTCTTTAAAGAGGGCGCGCTTGCGCGGGGGACACCCCGACCCTTTAGGCCCTGCGGAAGAAAGGAAGAAAGAAAGAGAGCGAGCGATCAGAGCCGCTTTTCTTAGGCGCTTAGAGCTGAACTCCGCAAAAGGGGTGAGGTCGACTCTAAACCTTGCTTTTCTGGTAACTTTACTACACGCTGGGCCCAGGGAAACCTCAGCTCGAAAATGCGAGACATGCGACCTGCAGCCACTATATTTAAATACACTGTTTTCATGAAGAAGACTCTATGGGCTGGGCCAAAAGCAAGGGCCCTGACTCTTCATGCTTTTCGAACTTTTGTGAAGCTGGCTAGGAAGGAGCATGTTTTTGCGTGGCCTGTGCAAGGAGCAGCCTTGAAAGCCCCTCGAGGGCACCATCATTTTGGACACTGGATGATGAAAATGAGAAGACTTCGATTGAGAGCCAGTCGTGCACTGGGCATCATTGCATTCCAGCGTATGTGCAACCACTGAAACCTACAACATCTTAGGCGTGTTATTGCTGCTGGATTCAGCCGCCGTTGAGCTGGGAGCACAAAAAAAGACACCCATATTACACCAGGGCCTTAACTTCCAAACAGGGCTGTTGTACGAACCGCCCTCCCAAAAATGAAGGTTACATAACCGCCCTAGTTTTGAGGGCTGCCGGACTCGCAGGGTTTATATAGGTTGTTAGTTGTATTTCCAAACCCTCGGCAGATCAAACAACCGCCCTGCGAAGGGGAAGCCGAAAGAGCGCGGAATAAGATTCCGCGGTCCAATACCTGCCCCATCGAATAGAAGCCGCGCGTGAAGACGGATTCTGGCACAACAGCTTCCAAGCCAGCCTGCGACCGTTTTGGGGTCTAGGGTTGTTTGGAATCACTGTAGAGATGCCAGCGATGGGCCGGGCACCAGTGCATCATGTTTGTGGCGCCTGCTGGGGACACGTTCAAGCACAATTAGAATGGGGCCTCCGTCTTTCTTTCTCTCTCTCTCTCTCTCTCTTTCTCTCTCTCTCTCTCTCTTTCTCTCTCTCTCTCTCTCTCTTTATTTGTCCCTCTCTCCCCTTCTCTCTCAAGGAGCACTTCAGGCTTTGAGTGTCGGCAGGCCTGAGCCTTGTGTATTGTTAGACCCCCACGCCCAAATAAGGTATAACGCGGGGGGGGGGGGGGGTGCTCTTCCGAGGTGCCCCAAGGATTCCCCAGGATATAAATGTATAGCAGAGGGGGGGTCGTTTTTGAGAGCCGTTGCGACTCCGAGCCAAGCCCAAAATCTTCGCAGAAATAAAGAAGAACAAGTACACCTGAGTTCTAAGCCTCTAAGCTCGGTTTACGAATTCTTAAAGAACACTTCTGATGTTTCCGTGATTGCTCAGACGTGCCATGTTCGCTTGTGTCCCTTTCTGATGGCATGATGAAACATGATAGGCCACAGTATCCACAGAGTTCCGGGGGAATGGGTCTCTTTGTGGCACCCACAGAGAACCTAGCGTTTCTCCATGGGCAATTTTTCCCAGAAGGTTCGCGATCGTATTGGATGCTGTGGGATGTACGCTGAGAGGGGGGGTCGCTATACATTTATCGTCGGCCAGATTGACTTGGGAGGGGGGTTTTTTGGAGTCTGTAATCAGGTCCCAGTCTCCTATTGGAGGCCGGGAAAGGCCGTGGGATTCCGGCAAATGCACGGGTCTCGTGTCCTCAAGGGCTGCAAGTCGTGGGGTCCCGGTAAATGTACGCTGAGGGGGGGGGGGGTCGCTATACATTCATTTGGGCCTGTGTCCTGTCGGGACCGGCGCCGTGGGTCTTGGGGCTTCAAGCAAACCCCGGCTTTCGGTTCACAAAAGTGGGTTTGCTTCTCGGCCATTTTCAGCTCCCATTCTCCTATTACCCACTTCTACCAATCGCCCCAATTCTTTCTGCAAGAAGCAGCTCTCCACCCCCTCCCTTGTTGAGCGATAGCACGGTAAAGATATGTAAAGTTCCAAGAAGATTGACTTGGAGAGAGCTGAGTGAAGCGATGAAAGAAGAAGAGGAGACCAGTGAGCTAGTCAGGTCAAGTGAAGCTGCAAGATATGCTGCACCCATACACCTCTACCTCCACCCAACATCCCAGCAAATCATGCGGTTATGTCACAGTCGAAGACTTAGCACGAAGCCACGATCTACATTTCCATTGCCTTGGGAAAACTCGGACATTAATGTATAGCAATGGGGGGGGGCCCTGTTCTTCTAGTTACACGTGGGGATATTGTTAAGATTCTTTCAGTTGATGAAGTATGCTCATTCTTGTCTGGCTGTCTACCTCTCTCTTGTGTGGCTGTTCTGTTGAAGTCGGTTTTTATTGGGCTCCCGGCATTCTGTTCCAGGCACTAGCCAGGGTGCAGAACATCATTTTCCGCCTCGCTCACACCATTTGCGGACCCCGACATCCCTGGACGCTTCGGCGGCAAGAACTACTGGCAGAGAGCTACTGTGAGCTGCGTCAGTACCAGCAGGCGCTGCAACTCTTGGAGGAGGTGCTGGAGGCCGAGCAGGAGGAGGAGCTGCAGGCGAAAAAGAAAGTGTTGGGTACCAGGAGCAATGTGGCGGTGTGTTTGAGAGGTGTAGGGCGGCCCGCGGACGCTTTGCAGCTCGAAGAGAACTTGCTGGAGGCCATGAAGGAAGTTCTGGGCCCGAGGAACGAGATGACGTTAGCTCGCATGGTTCTATTGGCGAGGCATTGGAAAGATCTCAGGCGGCCCGCGGATGCTTTGCAGCTCCAAGAGGAGGCGCTGAAGGCCATGAAGGAAGTTCTGGGCCCGAGGCACCCTCGCACGCTTACTACCATGAGCGATGTGGCGCAGAGTTTGGATGCGGTTGGGCGGCCCGCGGACGCTTTGCGGCTCTTCGAGGAAGTGTTGGAGGCCGAGAAGGAAGTTCTGGGCCCGAGGCACCCGGGCACGCTGGCCACCATGGGCAATATGGCCCTGTGTTTGCGTGGTGGCGGGCAGCCCGCGGTGGCTTTGCAGCTCGAAGAGGAGGTGCTGGAGGCCAAGAAGAAAGTTCTGGGCTCGAGGCACCCGGACACGATAAGCGCCATGCATAATCTGGCAGCCGGCTTGGCAGAGGGCTTGATTGAGCATCGTGGCCTTTTGCACCTCGAAGTGAAGGTGTTGGAGGCGCACCCGGACACGCCGAGGCTGAGCTACGCTATGCACCTCTTCATGGAGGTGGTGGATGCCAGAATGGAAGTTCTGGGCAACACACACCCTGACACGCTGCTTGCCATGCACAATCTGGCGCACTTTTTGAGGGCGGTTGGGCGGCCCACGGAGGCTTTGAGCCTCTTCGAGATTGTGCTGAAGATCCGCAAGGAAGTTCTGGGCCCAAGCCACCCACAAACGCTGGACACCGAGGCCGCTCTAACAGTTCATAGACGAATGGCCCCTCTCATCGCAGACATGTCCTTACGCAATTCGGAGTTTACAATTGTTTTAGGGCGTGATGAAATGGAAAGACTCGCGAAGTCGAAAGGTCTTCATCTGGATTCACCTTCCGTTTCACCCCAGGGGCCCCTGGCTTTGTAGCTCCAGGCGCGAGCCTTGAAGCCTCAACTTGCAAGACTTTTCCTCCGAGGCTTTTTCACAGCCTGAACGCCACAGCTTCAAACCTCGAAAATCCCTCGAAGGGCTGACCTTGTGGAAGAGGCCATGGATAGCGCCTTGAGAGCAGCCACTGTGCGCCCGAGCAGGATGATACCGTCAGTTGTAACCCTCAACTGCAGGACTCATATTCTTAATAGGGCCCAACAAAGCACCCGAAAGCAGGTTCGTGCCATGTCCAGGGCGCGAAGCTCAGATGCTGGAAAGCTCCGTTGCTGTGCAGGGTTTAGGCGGTTTAGGGTGCAGGGTTTAGGTTGTGCACATCCTCCAGTGGTTGTGGTGAGCAACATGGTCGATGTCGGCTGAAGTGGTATTAGGGTCCTAAAAGATTGAGGGTTTGGTGCTTAGGGCGCTGTCCAAAGCAGCCAGAACGAGTGCAAGTGCAAGCCGAAGAGCGTGTGTAGGATTGCTCGCAGAGTGCTTGGGAAATACTAGGAGGCATTTTTGGGGGGTTGCCACCCCGCTGCCTCTCCAGGTCCTGCGGCTGCCGTGACCTCTGGTGACTCTGGTGAGTGTTCTACATTACACATCTTGCACCTTCAAACGGTCGTGCACTTAACCCGCTCGGGTGCATCGGGAGCCGCAGGGGCGGCATCAAAAACGTCAAAAACGTCAATAGTGACAAGTATCGTGTTTTTTAGTTGACCCATGGCCATTGCAAGTGCATTTCTCCACATGTCACTTTGTAAAGATAATGTCGAAAAGCGTCAAATGCGTCGAAACCACCCCGTGACAAGTGCTTAAAGGTGCGTCTAGACAAGCCGCAGCCCCGCGCAAGCTACAGTTGCTGACGCTTTTGATGTTCTTGACGTCAAACAATTGCTCGGTTTGTCACCCAGGCCGGATACATCTCAAGCTCCTGGACCTGCGGAGGTCTTCCAATGTTCTGCACTTGAAGCGTTGTGCATCTGCGGTGCATGGGGGTTGTCGCTTCTGCCACTTCTGCCACTTCTCATATGTTGAGTTTCAGTCGTCCGTGCAAAGTTTGTGTAGTGCAGCATTGCAATATTGACACTTTTGATTTTTTGACGTCAACGATATGCCTCAAGCTCCTAGAGCTGCCACGGCCTTCGAGTGTGCTTCCGACATGTTGAGTTTGAGTCGTCAGTGCAAAGATTGCGTAGTACAGCGTTGCAGCCTTGACACTTTTGACGCTTTCGACATCAATTTCTTGCTCGGTTTGTCTCCCAGGTCCGATACATTGCCACGGCCTTCGGGCGATCTGCACTTGAAGTGTCGCGCTTCTGCCATCTCTGACATGTTGAGTTTGAGCCGTCAGTGCAAGCATTGTGCAGCACAGCGTTTGTGAAGAAGTGTAACGTTTGTGCGGTGCAGCGTACCCCTTTTGAAGCATGAGACACCTCTAAAGAAAACACAGGCCGTGATGTAGCCTTGCGGGCGCGAGAGGTGCTCAAAATCTAGGAGCCAAAGACCCCAAACCCAGAAGCCAAAAGCTTCAAACCCTGAAGTTGCATGAGGCCCCCCTAAGAAGAAGAAGAAGAAGAAGAAGAAGAAGAAGAAGAAGAAGAAGAAGAAGAAGAAGAAGAAGAAGAAGAAGAAGAAGAAGAAGAAGAAGAAGAAGAAGAAGAAGAAGAAGAAGAAGAAGAAGAAGAAGAAGAAGAAGAAGAAGAAGAAGAAGAAGAAGAAGAAGAAGAAGAAGAAGAAGAAGAAGAAGAAGAAGAAGAAGAAGAAGAAGAAGAAGAAGAAGTGGGCGACGGAGGTAGTCCCCGCACCGTATCCAACCTGTTGATGTGCCTGCAACCAATGCGTCGGTCAGTCTTTGGCGCGCGCACCCCCAGGGACCCCCCCACCGACTACCAGACCCTGGAAGCCAAAAGCCCTTGTGACCGTCTCCTTGGGCATCCCACGTAGGGATGGCCCCTCCCTGAGGCTCGCCCGGTAGGCAATGCCTCTCCTTGATGGTCGCCGGGCACAAAAACCTTATGCAGCTGACGCAGCACCCTCGACCGACGACATGCAGCCCCCGCCCCGCCCCAACCCTCCAAACCCCAGAGCTCCGCAAGTAAACTACGCCGTCTTGCGCGCCGTCCCTCAACAGGCATGCCCACTGGCGTGTATGAGCCGCGTCCTTGCAACTTTGGTTCAAATCACCGGTGCCGACTAGTTCAGTGAGAGACGCAGCCGTGTCCACACCTTCGTGACTCAAGAAAGACACCTTATGGTCAGAACCCCAATCCACCAAACCTCCCAAACACAAGCGCACAGTAGCAAACCGGTGACCAGACGGGTTGCCCCGACCGTCTCGGCCCCCGCATGGCACTTGCCCACCATCCAAAAACCCCAAAACCACGCCCCACAGGGAAGGCACCGGACGCACCATGGCATCCAGGCCCAACCGCCCCGCAGGGTTTGGACCGAGACGGCGATAGAGATGGATCGTCCCGCTCCCCCCGGACAACATGCCCACCTGCAAAAAACCACCCTTCCAAAAGAGAGACTCCCGCCCAAGGCAGGTATGGGGTTAGCACGTGCCTCCGCATTCGCCTAAAGGCGTGTTCCAAAAATATAACCCCATCCCCGGACCATCATGAGCAAACCCCACGATCTGCAGGACGTCCTATGCATCAACGACAGTCGAGTCTGAAACACGTCACTGACTATAAAAAAAATCACCAAGATACGCCCGCACATGTCACACAGCACAAAACAGCAAGCACATGCATCCTCCTAACAAAGCGCAGTCAGGCACGAGTGCCCAGGCGCCGGCCACGAGGAGGCCACGACCCATCGTAGGCGCCCTGAGGCCCCGCTAAAGAAACACACAGGCGTGATGTAGCCTTGCGGGCGTGAGAGGCGCTCAAGTTCTAGGAGGCAAAGCATGAGGTCCCCCTAAAGAAAACACACAGGCCGTGATGTAGCCTTGCGGGCGTGGTAGGTGCTCAAAATCTAGGAGCCAAAGACCCCAAACCCAGGAGCCAAAAGCCTCAAACCCTGAAAATTGCATGAGGTCTCCCTAAGAAAACACACAGGCCGTGATGTAGCCTTGTGGGCGTGAGAGGTGCTCAACATCCAGGAGCCGATGACCCCAAACCCAGAAGCCAAAAGCCTCAAACCCTCAAAAGTGCAGTAGGCCCCTAAGGAATAGACAGTTGCCGTGATGTCGCATTGCGGGCACACACTGGTGCACACGACGGGGCGCACAATGGCACACAATGATGCAAACAAAATCAGGCACACAATCGGGCGGACAACGGGGCACAATGGGGCGCACAATCAGGCACACAATCGGGCACACAATCGGGCACACAATCGGGCACACAATCGGGCACACAATCGGACACGCAATCGGGCACACAATCGGGCACACAATCGGGCACACGCAATCGGGCACACAACGGGGCACGCAATGGGGTCAGGCACGGAGTGTTTTCCGGGCTTTCCAAGACCTGCCCCATGCCGGTTTTGAATTTTTTGGGCCTCTTAACTGCTTCCAGGACCTGCCCAGTGCCAGTTTTGAGTGTTTTGGGCCTCTTAACTGCCCAGTGCCAGTTTGAATTTTTTGGGCCTCTTAACTGCTTCCAGGACCTGCCCAGTGCCAGTTTTGAGCGTTTTGGGCCTCTTAACTACTTCCAGGACCTGCCCAGTCCCAGCTTTGAACTTTTTGGGCGGGCGGACTGCGGGCTGGGCCGCGCTGGTTCGACACCATCCACGCGGACTTGCGTGCGAAGATGAACCTCACTTTGGCTGCAAAATAGAATCAAATGACATGAAAAAGTCAGCTCAAGGCGAAGCTGAAAACGTTCAAATGGCAGTGCTTGCAGCTAATGCAAAAACTCAAAACATTCAAATCAGCTGGAACACAGCCCGTGGAAGCTCAGAACGTATAGATGGCAGCCGTCAATCCTCTCCTGAAGTGCATCGGCCGGAGTGGGGGGACACTGCAATAATAGTTGCCCAAGAGCCCCCCCGTTACCATATATAGCTATGAGTCATGCTTGCCAAGTGTGCCAATAATCTCTGCATGGCTAGTTGTGCATGAAGCTTTGTGTCGGAGCATGCTTACCTGAGGCCCCGGTAGTTATCTGGGCTTCGGGTCTGTTTTTCGGACACAGGCTGTCTACAAGCAACAGGGTTGTAAGCCTCTAGGGTTTGGTGTTTGCGGCCAGGTGGTCTTGCAGAGTGTTGCTTTGATTCCGTCTGTTTAGATGCTTGCAGGGGCCGTGGAAGTTTTTATCGTGCTTTCGACATGCGAGTCTTTCCTTTTCAGGCTTCGGCATTTAGAGGTAGAAGCCCCGCGGATGTGATCGCATGCCTGTGCTGCTCGCAGCTGATTGCCATTTTGTACTTGGGTCAATGTGACGTAAAAGAACCATTGCGAACTTCAAACAAGCACAGCTCTAAGCCCCTACGTCCTTTAGCCACAGCATTTTGCAACTCGTTCCTTGACTCCTTGGCCGCTGAGCATGGCTTGTCTGGCGCCCACAGGGATTCAGGATGTATTTGGTAGCTACCATGGCTCAGTCTTTCAAAGGCATCCCCAAAGCTGAAGTTGAAGCTGAGGTTCGTCCCTGGTCCGTCATGCTTCCAGCGCGCAGCAGCTGATTCAGAAGAGGCTAGGCCTGAGCACTTGCATGAGCTTTTTGACATATGCACCGCTTTCAAAGACGGCGAGTGGCGGTTCCATCTTGATCTGGATGCCAGCTGACGTGCAGCAAACGTGTGCAATTGGTGGCTTCAGATCTTCGGCGGAGTCGCCCTGTGTCCGGTGTTCCTGCATTTCGAAGAGAGAAAGGTGACAGGTCTGTGGGAATTGGCGCCCGTGTCCGGGAAATGCAGGCCCTTTTCGGCCCTTTTTGGGGGGTTTGAAGCATCCCAGAGGCCCAAGTTGAGCCTGCGCCTGCCGTGCATGCAGAGCCTCCTGCAGAGTCTCCTGCAGATGAGCTGCAAGGCACAGGTTCCCCCCGCAGCCCGAGGGTGTCAGGACGGCGTACAATCTCCAACGGCATCCGGGAGGGACCTGTAGGTCCTCCTCGGAGGACCATGGCGCATCATGCCTCCATGTCCAGTAGCCCCGTGAGGCTGCGAAAAGCTGCTCTTGTACATGGTCTTCCTTCGCAGGGAGATGTTAAGAGAAGATTTAAGAGCCTCACAAAGGTCATGAAGAAAGCGATGCTGGTGGCCTCTGCTGCCGGCCTGCGGCCATGTCAGGGCTACGGGCCATGTCGGGGCTGTCGGCGGGTCCCTGCAGTCATTGCCTTCATTGCCTGCATGTCGGCATGTCCGTCGACCTCATCTGCATCTGCTGATGCGCAAGATGAAACCTCCACTGCTGTCAGAAAAATCTGTGGTATCAGCAAAGCCTGTTTCGCTTGAGGCCAGCACAATCTCTAGGCCCATGTCGGCCTCGTCCCATTGCGGCCATTGCGTGTGGATGTAGGACGCAGGTTTCATCATCTATCTGCCGGGTGGAGCCTTTTGCCGAGGCTCTGCCCTGGTACATGGCCTGAGCAAGCCGTTGACGCGGCCATCCTGTGCTTGAGATCATAGCATACTGGGGAGACACACGGAGAGTCCAGTTCTCAGTCGCACACCAGCCATGGCCAGGCCATGTGTGCTTCATGCACGGTGCAGTGTTGGGTTTGGCCGCCATGGACATGCAGTAGTTGATGAAGTCACTCCGAGCGCGGTGTGGCCCTCCACCGAAGAAGCCCTAACCTAACTTGCATGCCCAATGCGTGTAAGCGTAGGACGCTGGTTTCACTTGCCTCCCGGGCAGAGCCTTCTGCCGAGCCGCGTGCAGAAGTCTGGCAGAACTGTTTTGGGAGAACTGGGAAGGTTGGAGCTGAAATCGGAAGTGGATTGATTTTAAGGGGCTTCCTGAGATGTGGGGGGGTGTCAGCTGTATCAGCTTTGGATGGTGACTACAGACGTCGCAGTCGACGGCAGTGGCATGTCACGTGGACTACAAAGTATTGATGGTTGCGCAGCCTTCGTGTGGATGAAGCCGGGCCGACGTGCAAAGTAAGAGCGGGACAGAAGGAATGCCGTCAGACTCGCCTGCAAGGCTTTACGAGTTCCCACTGCTTCGTCAGCACTGGTTGAGTAGGCAGGCCTTTTGTGAGCACGCAAGGAGGTCCAGTTCTCAGTCGCTGCAGGGCAGCCGTGGCCTGGCCAGATGTTCTTCATGCGCAGTGCTGGGCCTGGCCACCGGGGACATGCAGTAGTTCGTTGCATCAGCCTGCCTTATAGTGCGGTGTGGCCCTCCACCGAACCAGCCCTGGCCCTAGGTGCCCGCTGCTCGAAGAGCCTCCTCAATCGTACACGTGTCGTGGAGCATGTGACGTGTTCGGGGCCATGTATGGAGTCCCTCCCTTTCGGCAGTTGCGGTTTGTCGCCGCCTCTGCGGCGTTGTCCAACTCTCCCTACCCTTGAACCAAGGGGGCTCGTCATGGCCTCAGCGACAAGGGCGACCTGGGTGTTCTGAGCATCGTGGCGACGTGCTGGGCTTGCGCATTGAGCATTGGGCATGTGTGTCGAGGTCTGCTCCCTAGCGGCCCTAAGTGATGCTGACCACCAGCGTCCTAGCATCCGGTAGCCTCCCGTCCAGAAGATCGCGAGCTGACCCTTGTGGTCCTCACCCTGCGCCCCTGAGCACATGCAGCAGCTGTTCTGTTCGACCTTGCATGTCTTCGGCCGATGAAGTTTGTAGAATCTTGAGACGTTTATCGCTCCTTGTCTCCGGCATTATGAGAATCGTCTGTGCTGCTCAACGTGCTGGCATGATCCAGAATGCGGTCTTGCGTGAGCGGTAGTGCGATAGACATTCTCTTCGCGGCCAGGGGCACCGTGTGGGCGTCGAACAATGCCAAGGGCCCCGGGTCCGTCCTCACCGCGTCCAGCGCCAGGTTTGGGCGGAGCACTCAGGTCTGTCAGGCCACTGCGCCTTGTTGAGAAGCAGCCTTCTTGCATGGCTGTGTGAGCAATACAATTTCGTCACGTATGGCCTTCATCCCTTTGTCCGCACTCCGCCCCGCCACTGCGTGGCTTCGTTGCCTGTGAGTCGGCAGGCACGCAGGGGGACATAGCAAGTGGGCAAGCCCAAACAATGCTTGGACCAGAACGCGCAACGAATGTGTTTATGGTTCCATCTGAGCAGCTTCCTTAATGTAATCACCTTTATCAAACATCAAAAACAGTGCTCTATATATGGGATATGTCAGAGTCGTAGACGTATGCGGGGCATGTTGTCAGATGTAGGTTCAATAGTGCGGGTATCGGGTGCACAGGTGTAGGGTGCAGTGGTGCGCGGCATTTGGTGTGAGGTACGGGTGCGGTGTTCGGGTGCACGGTGCGGGGTGCGCACCGCACCGCGCTCTGCACACCCTGAACCAGCACCCTGCTCACCCCGAACTCCTCCCTGCCCGCCACAAACCCGCACCTTACGCAACCTAAAACCCATGGCTAGAGCTGAAGTCTGAAAGGAATGTGGCAGTATCAGCTGGTGTATCAGCGTTGGACGGCATTTACGCACGTCGGCAGACTGCGATAACCTGGCAGGTATAGAGAGTCTCAAGGTTCTTAATAGCCGGGCTATGCAGAGCCCTTGTGGTGCTTAAGGGCCTGCTCAGCCTCGCGCTGTGGAGCAATTGATGTGTTTGGGGCCATGTGACCGTCACGCAGACACCTTGGCCATAAACACCGAAAGCAGGTGGAGTACTCCGCTTTCGGCAATTACGGTTGTTCACTGCTTCTGGTATCTGTGCAGGACCCGGTGGGGAGGTCGAGAAATGCCTTCGGCATTTTCCACTCCCCGCTACCCTTAATCCAAGAGGGATCGTCACGCAGTCGGCGACCAGGTCAATTTGCATGCTCTGAGCATCGTGGTGATATGCGAACCTTGTGCTGGCCTTGTGGCGCACGCTATGTGCAGCTCTGGGGCAGAGAGCGCACCGCGCTTTTCCACATGCGTCCAGAGCTCCGGTGAGGTTCTCGAGCAAAGCCTGGAGGCTTCCATCGCCTCTGCTCTCCGACATTGTGAGAATCTTCTGTGCTGTTCAACGTGCCGGAGGGACAAAGAAAGCTGTTTTGAGGGAGCGGGTAGTCCGGTAGACGCTTTCGTCGTGGCCAGCGGCACCCAGAAGAGGGCGTCCTTTGCGCAACAGCTATCAGCACTTGCAAGGTCAGCCCTCACCAGGGCTTTCAGGCCTCTGTGCCCTGTTGTCGCTGAAAAGCAGCCTTCTTGCACGGCTGAGTGAGCAGTTTCATTGCCTCAGGGCTGGGGGTGTTGGCGCAGCCTTCATGTGGATGAAGCCGAGTCGACCCGCAAGGTGAGCATGGGACAGAAGCAATGTTGTGAGTGGGCAGGCCTTTGCTGAGCACGCAAGGAGGACACAAATCCAGTTCTCAGTCGCTGCAGGCCAGCCGTGGCCTGGCCAGATGTTCTTCATGCGTCGCCGTGGACATGCAGTAGTCCGCTAGCCTAAGCGGGTTCGAATGAAGTCAGTCTGAGTGCGGTGTGGCCCTTCACCGAACTAGCCTCAGCCCTTTGTGCCTGCTGCTTAGAAAGCTTCCTGAGTCGCACACGTGTCGTGGAGCATTTGACGTGTTCGGGGCCATGTGACCGTCAGGCAAACCCCTCGGCTATACATGCCAAAGCCAGTGTGGAGTACCTCCCTTTCGGCAACTACGGTTTGTCTCCGCCTTTGCGGCATTGTCCAACCCTCCCTACCCTTGATCCAAGGCGGGTCGTCACGGCCTCAGCGACAAGGGCGACCTGCGTGTTCTGAGAATCATGGCGACGTGCTGAGCTTGCGCATTGAGCATTGGGCGTGTGTGTCGAGGTCTGCTCCCTAGCGGCCCGCTACCCTTAATCCAAGAGGGGTCGTCACGCACTCGGCGACAAGGTCAATTTGCATGCTCTGAGCATCGTGGTGATGTGCGAACCTTGTGCTGGCCCTGCGGCGCACGCTATGTGCAGCTCTGGGGCAGAGAGCGCACTGCGATTTTCCACATGCGTCCAGAGCTCCGGTGAGGTTCTCGAGCAAAGCCTGGAGGCTTCCATCGCCTCTGCTCTCCGACATTGTGAGAATCTTCTGTGCTGTTCAACGTGCCGGAGGGACAAAGAAAGCTGTTTTGAGGGAGCGGGTAGTCCGGTAGACGCTTTCGTCGTGGCCAGCGGCACCCAGAAGAGAGCGTCCTTTGCTGCGGCCTCTTGCGCAACAGCTATCAGCACTTGCAAGGTCAGCACTCACCAGGGCTTTCAGGCCTCTGTGCCCTGTTGTCGCTGAAAAGCAGCCTTCTTGCACGGCTGAGTGAGCAGTTTCATTGCCTCAGGGCTGGGGGTGTTGGCGCAGCCTTCATGTGGATGAAGCCGAGTCGACCCGCAAGGTGAGCATGGGACAGAAGCAATGCTGTGAGTGGGCAGGCCTTTGCTGAGCACGCAAGGAGGACACAAATCCAGTTCTCAGTCGCTGCAGGCCAGCCGTGGCCTGGCCAGATGTTCTTCATGCGTCGCCGTGGACATGCAGTAGTCCGCTAGCCTAAGCGGGTTCGAATGAAGTCAGTCTGAGTGCGGTGTGGCCCTTCACCGAACTAGCCTCAGCCCTTTGTGCCTGCTGCTCAGAAAGCTTCCTGAGTCGCACACGTGTCGTGGAGCATTTGACGTGTTCGGGGCCATGTGACCGTCAGGCAAACCCCTCGGCTATACATGCCAAAGCCAGTGTGGAGTACCTCCCTTTCGGCAACTACGGTTTGTCTCCGCCTTTGCGGCATTGTCCAACCCTCCCTACCCTTGATCCAAGGCGGGTCGTCACGGCCTCAGCGACAAGGGCGACCTGCGTGTTCTGAGAATCGTGGCGACGTGCTGAGCTTGCGCATTGAGCATTGGGCGTGTGTGTCGAGGTCTGCTCCCTAGCGGCCCGCTACCCTTAATCCAAGAGGGGTCGTCACGCACTCGGCGACAAGGTCAATTTGCATGCTCTGAGCATCGTGGTGATGTGCGAACCTTGTGCTGGCCCTGCGGAGCACGCTATGTGCAGCTCTGGGGCAGAGAGCTCTGAGAGCGCACTGCGCTTTTCCACATGCGTCCAGAGCTCCGGTGAGGTTCTCGAGCAAAGCCTGGAGGCTTCCATCGCCTCTGCTCTCCGACATTGTGAGAATCTTCTGTGCTGTTCAACGTGCCGGAGGGACAAAGAAAGCTGTTTTGAGGGAGCGGGTAGTCCGGTAGACGCTTTCGTCGTGGCCAGCGGCACCCAGAAGAGGGCGTCCTTTGCTGCGGCCTCTTGCGCTGCGCCTGGCTTTGCCAGGGCCCCAAGGTCAGCCCTCACCAGGACTGTCAGGCCTCCATGCCCTGTTGTCGCTGAAAAGCAGCCTTC